CTATTTAAAAAATAATTACAGAAAACTTCTCCTAGCTGTTGAAAGAAAGAGACAAGTCCCGGAAGCACAGAGAGTCCCAAACAAGGGGAACCCAAAGAGGCCCACACCAGGACACATCATAATTAAAATGCCAAAGGTTAAAGACAAAGAGAGATCTTGAAAACTGCAAGAGAAAAGCAGTTAGTTACCTCCATGGGAGCACCCGTATGACCCTCAGCTGATTTCTCAACAGAAACCTTGCTGGCCAGAAGGGAGTGGCAAGAAATATTCAAGGCAATGAAAAGCAAGAACCTACAACCAAGATTGCTTTACCCAGCAGAGCTATCATTTAGAACTGAAGGTCAGGTAAAGAGCTTCACAAATAAAAATCTAAAGAAGTTCATCACTACCAGATCAGCACTACATGAAATGTTGAAGGGTCTTCTTTAAGAAGAAGCTAACGATCAAAAGAATCTGACAAACTAAATAGATCCAGAGCCATTGAGGCATGCAGCAGATGGTCATATTTCAGAGTGAATTGGGAAGCGGGGTGGAGGGTAGGAAGAGATTAACCAAAGAAGTTATATGCATGTATGCATAACCCGTGGACACAGACCACAATGGAGTGAAGGCCTGGGGAACGGGTGGGGGTTAGGGGGAGGGGTTCAATTGGGGGGTGGAAATGGGCCACCTGTAATACTTTCAACAATAAAGATTAAATATATATATGTGTATACATATTTATATATATATGGTGAAATAAAGGAAAGCAGTTTATAGTAAGTAAAACATATTTTGGTAGATATGTTCATCAATATGTACACAAGAAGACATAATGTAGTTCGATTTTCCCACTTACATGGGAAATCACTAAGAATATGAATTGGCATTGCAGCAGTGACATGATTTTTTGAAATGAACATCTTTTAGTAGAATTCCAAACAAAACAAAATACAACACCTCCAACCCAAATTCCTTTAATTTACATTGTAGTTGTTTTGTGGAATATTTTATGTATATTAAAACTGTATAAAATAATTGTGCTTATATAAAACAATGTTCAGATCTAAGCTTAAATTATTATAAACTGACTTTTTTGCCAATGTCAATGTCCAGTGGGATATTTGAAAGTAGAACAGAACAAAAAGTGTGGGATTCAGAACAGTGCTTTGTTGTACAGGCCTGTCCTGTGTATTGTCTGTCAAATGCCAAGGATGTCTTCTTAATTACCATGACAGTGAAAAAGTTGCACCCACAAACTCAGAATACCGCTTCTAAATGGCAGTGCTACCTGTGTTGCAAGTCTCTGCCTTAAACACTTCAGAAAGACACAGAAACCTAAGAGACCCAACATTTCAAAAGCAGAAGCTTGTAGTGTGATGATATCATTGTCCAGAGAAGTTAGGGAGGCAGGAGGAGAAAGTCTACTGTATTGTTCCCCAAGGCCGAGATATGCTTTTTGCCTTCATCTTGCTTTTACTAGCCTGCACTATTCCTGTCCTGCATTCCTGTGATTGAAGCTTTTAGCATTCCCTCCATTCCCTGTTCTTGTAGCTTTCTGGAGAGGCTCTTTAGACCAGGTTCTGAAGGAAATGCAAACAGTGGGTTTGAAAGTATCCAAGAAAACTGATGAAAGTGTAAATATATATACAGTTTACCCAATGAAAGACTTTTATGTAAGTAATTCGTGACTTTGCAAATATATAGCTAAATTATTTTGGTACTTAAATTATGAGAATTTTATCTCTTGATTAATTTGAAGGATATAATTTTGCTATAAACTAATAGTTTGAAAATTTGTAAATTATTTCATAAGGTTTATCTTTGTTAACAATGGAAATCAATATGGAAGGAAATACTTAACTATAGTGATTTCAGAAATCAGTAATTTTGCTGTTTTTTATGTGGCAGCATTTTTAATACACATTTTTTATTGTTGACAGTATTACAGGTATTACAGATGTCCCCCATTACCCCATCCCCTTTGTCCCCCTCCATCCAGTTCCTGCCGCACCCCAGGCCTTCACCATACTATTGTCTGTGTTCATGGACTATGCATGTATGTATATAAATTCTTTGGTTAATCTCTTCCCATCCCCCCACCCCCCTCCCCTATAAGATCTGTCAGGCTATTCCATGCAAACATGCCTCTGGACTTATTTTGTTTATTTTGTTCTTTAGAATCCACATATAAGTGAGATCATTTGATATCTGTTCTCTGACTGGCTTATTTCATTTAGCATCATACTCTCCAGTTCCATCCATGCTGTCACAAAGGATAAGAGATCCTTTTTTACAGCTGCATAGTATTCCATTGTGTAATGTACCATAGCTTTTTTATCCACTCATCTACTGATGAGCACTTGGGCTGTTTCCAGGTCTTAGCTATTGTAAATAATACTGCTATGAACATAATGGTGCATCTATTTTTTCTTATTTGTGTTTCGGGATTCTTAGGATATATTCCCAGAAGTGGGATCACTGAGTCAAATGGCAGTTCCATTTTTAATTTTTTGAGGAAACTCCGTACTGTTTTCCATAGTGGTTGTACCAGTCTGCATTCTCAGCAGCAGTGTACTAGGTGTTCCCTTTTCTCCACATCCTCTCTAGCACTTGTTTTAATTTGCATATCTCTGATGATTAGTGACATTGAGTATGTTTTCATATGCCCATTGGCCATCATATGTCCTCTTTGGAGAAGTGTCTATTCAGGTCCTTTGCCCATTTTTTAATTAGAATTTTTTGTCTTCCTTTTGTTGAGCTCTTAACATATTTTGGAAATTAACCCCTTTTCACATCATTGGCAAATATGCTGTCTCATACAGTAGGCTCCCTTTTCATTTTGATGATGGTTCTTTTGCTGTGCAGAAGCTTTTTAGTTTAATGTAGTAACATTTGTCCATTTTTTCCTTTGTTTCTCTTGCCCTGGGAGATATATCAGTGAGATGTCTGATATTTTGCTGCTTATGTTTTCTTCTAGGATTTTTTTTGGTTTTGGGACTTACATTTAAGTGTTTTATCCATTTTGAGTTTATTCTTGTGTATGGTGTAAGTTCGTGGTCTAGTTTCATTTTTTTGCATGTACCTGTCCAATCTTCCCAACACCATTTATTGAAGAGACTCTCTTTACTCCATTTTATATTCTTGCCTGTTTTATCAAATACTAAATGACTGTAATGGCGTGGGTTGGTTTCTTGGGTCTCTGTTTGTTCCATTGGCCTATATGCCTGTTCTTGTACCAGTACCAGGCTGTTTTGATTACAGCGTCTTTGTAGTATAGTTTGCTATCTGGTATTGTGATCCTTCCAGCTTTGTGCTTACTCAGGAATACATGGCTGCCCGGCTGGGCGTGGCTCATCGGTTGAGCGTCGACCTAGGATCCAGGCGATCGGGGTTTGATTCCCAGTCAGGGCACATGTCCCAGTTGTGGGCTCGATTAATGACTCTCTCATCATTGATGCTTCTATCTCTCTCTCTCCCTCTCCTTTCCTCTCTCTGAAATCAATAAAGATATATTTAAAAAAAAAAAAAAAGAAAAGAAAGAAAAAGAATGCATGGCTATTCAGGATCTTTTTTGGTTCCATATAAGTTTTTGAAGTGTTTGTTCTAGATCTGTGAAATATGCTGTTGGTATTTTAATAGGGATTGCATTGAATCTCTAGGTTGCTTTGGGTAGTATGGGAATTTTAACGATATTCTTCCAATCCATGAACATGGTATGTGCTTTCACTTGTTTGTATCTATTTCCTTTTTTCAGTGTGCTATGGTTTTCCAAGTACAGGAGGTCTTTTACCTCCTTGGTTAAGTTTATTCCTAGGTATCTTATTTTTGTTGTTGTTGCATGGTAAATGGGATTCTTTTTTAGTTTCTCTTTCTGAGAGTTCATTATGAAGCAGCATTTTGGTGCTAGATGTACCTAGGTTCAAATTCTCCAGCTCTGCCACAGCAAATTAGTCAATGTCTCTGAGCCTTACTATAAATAGTCCTCCTCAGTAAAGGACATGGTTGCAAGGACTAATGTAAAACATCTGACACAGTTTTCTCCTAGTACTTGTTCCTATGCATCCATATTTTTCATGCAGTATAACCATAGTGCTGTTCAAATTTATCTTATTTTTACTTTACCTATTTCCATAATGTAAACAATTATTATAATTCTTTTTGAAAATATTGAAGTATTAAAAAGTAATAGACCCATGACATTCTGCCACTAAATATAGTGTGTAGTGCATGATATCTTTTATGTAAATAAACTTACCTGCTTCTCTCAAGAAATAAAGTTTTAAAAAACCTCACCTCTTGAGATAACTAAAATCAAAACCAGGAAGAAACGGTTGAGTTGGATAGTGGGCCAATGATAGGCTTACTAATTGAGTGGTAGACTCCCACACACCAGCCTGAAATTGCAACCTACAATATACACATTTGTATGTTATAGACGTTTGGGTTACACAAAAATTGTCAAAACTACATATCTTAAATCTGAGAATATCAAGAATTTGCCCTTCATCTAATAATGATTTCAGTATACATGGGCATTTAAAATTTTGTTTTCTATTTTTTCATTGTAAAATGATGCTGTTGAATAGTTATGTACATACGTTGGTTTTTCTTTTCTCTAGTAATATTTCTTTAGGATAAATCTCTGAAAGTAGAATTACTCTATTAAAAGCCACAAACTTTTAATGGCACTTGATGTAATTGCAAATTATTTATAAAAATATTCTATGGATTTACAGTGTCTTCAGTGAAGTAGATTAAGTTGTCCATAAGTAGGAATTTTTATTTAAAGTGTTTTGGGGGGACTGATTTAATAGGTGAAATATTTTAATTTGTATTTCTTTGGCTACTAGTAAATTTAAACATTTAATTTTTGTATATTTGTGGTATTTCCTCTTTATTATTCACTTATCTTTTTCATATTCAACTTATGGGATCACTTAACAATTTAGCTGCTTTTCATGGCTGTAGCTAAATTAGACTTTTATCTAATCATATTATTCTGCTTTTTTTTCTTTTAGCTCCAGTAATAAACCGATTCACAAGGCGTGCCTCAGGTAAGTCTGAATATATTATGGATTTTGCTTACTAATGGTGACATTTTTCAAATGGTAGCAGTATTGGAGAGGAGGTACGAGGAAAATAATTGCTGTAGAGCAGCGATTTCAACCACTGTGCTGCAAGAATTTTTAAAACATGTAACACCTATTTAGTCAGTGGCACTGACCTCTTTCCCCTTAGATTGTCAAAGAAAAAAATGACAACAGCCAACACAACAAAGCTGTTCAGTGTGAGTGAATGAAAATTATACCTTTTTTTGCAAATATATTTCAGTGTGAATGAATGAAAATTATACCTTTTTTTTGCAAAAAAATATATTTTTTCGTGTGCCCTAGAATTTTAGTATTTAGTTTATGTGTGCCATGAGATGAAAAGGGTTGAAAATTGCTGTATAGAGTAGTTATTTGTCATTTTCCCAGGAAAACATAATCTGTGATATAATCGAAAACTAGGAAGTAATTGGAAATATTCTTTGGTTGGCTAAACTTAAAATTACACTGGGCACTGAGGCTATTGTACCTTTTTAAATGGAGACTGTCACCCTAATTTGTTTATTCCTCTTCTTGATCAGTTATCTACATGATTATCTGATTGACAAGCCACAGTTTAGAAGTGGTGATTTAGAAGTTTGGGTAAAGGACCCTCTAGAAACAGTGATAGATGAGAATTTTTAATAAGGGACAGGAAAACTTAAAATAGATACCATAAGAACTTGTCATCATGGGCCATATGGAATTGGAACAAATTGCTTTACATTTGTTAATACCCCTGTGGTTATTACTGTCTTAAAGATATCACAGTAACCTAATGCATATTCACAGTACTAGACCTTCGCATTAACGAGTGCTTAAATTAGGTTCACTGCCTACATTGGTAGGGAAGAACAGGACACAGTTGAGAGCATTTCTATCCAAAATGGTTTAAGTAAGATGAGTTTGGGTATTGAAATAGATAAACTCTTATTTGGAAAACTCACCTCTGTGGAATACCTTCTTCTCTGAAGACAGAGGACAAATGAAGTCTTACTATGTTTGGTTTGAGAAAATTACTCTTTCAAGTATAACTAGATTTTTTGTTGTTGAAAAACACAAGATAAAAATTTCAAACAGATCATCTTTGACATTTATATAGTATAAGTGAGTAATTTATTTCATAAAATTACCTTATTTCCGTATGTGCTGTATTACTAAAGCTGTTTTAAGGTTGAGTTTTACTTTTAATTTGTCAGCAGTTACTGGTACAATTTACTCTCACTGTGTAGTTACCAGGAAAAGAAAAAGACAAGGATTAGGAAAATGTGCTATATATGGATGGTATCTACTGGAATCTCAAGGCATATTTATTTTAAATGTTGAAAACGAAGAATAGATTGTAATAACTTTTGTAGAATGAGAGATTATGTTTATGTCATTAACTCATCCAACTTTATCCCAAAGTAGAGCTATCAAGATGATCATAGTCTAGTATAGTATATGGTCTTTTATGAGCATTGGTGGAAACAAAAGAGGAATAGTAACAGAGAATTAGTAGTGTGATATCTTGTTTTTGTGATTTAAAATTCTTTCTGTAGAAACATAGTTAAGAATCTTAGAATAAATTATATCCTCTCCTGTCTCAAACTGTATGATATGAGATTTATTTCTAGGCAAGTTCCATTAGTGTTTATTATACATTATACATATCATCAATTGATTGGTCAGGGCTCCAGTATGTAGGTTACTTTTGAAACACGATTATTTTAGTCCCCTACCACCACTAAGTCTGTGAGCAGTGCATCTCAGCAGGACTTGGTTGAAAATGTAGAGAAGATGGAATACCAGCAAAGAAATAACACTAAAGTCAAATATTGCATTTTATTCCTAGAAAGACAGGCCATAGGATATGTCAGTGAAAACAAGAAGCAGTTTGATTTAAAGACAAAGAATACAGTGATACCAAGTTCAAGAATCATGTTATATACAGCAATAAGCTTTAAAGGGAGTAAAAATGGTTACCAAAATATAACATGCTAGAAACGATTATGAGAATGAATCTTGATATTGATTATAGGAAAGAAAAGTGAACTAATTTATGTGGGTCAAGCACTAAGCCTTTTATTTACATTGCTAAGCATTTTATATACAGCCTTTCAATCAAGGAAAATAGGATTATATTTTCTACCTTAGATAAAAGACAACAGTGGTAAAAAAAAAAAAAAAAAAAGGACTGGGAACTATTTAATCACCTACATGTCTGTAATTTATATTGACTTTCTTATTTTTCATAAAAATTTGTGTAAAACTTTTCTAGCAAAGAATATAGAAACAATCTTAAGACATTTTTTAAAAAATGTATCTTTATTGAAAGCGATACGATAATTAATAATACAAGAATAAACTCTGCATTTCACATATTCACAACTATAAATACACTATTACTCCACCCTGTATGTGCCATGTAATCTTTATCCAGTCATCTACTGATGGGCACTTTGGTTGCTTCCATATCTTAACTATTGTAAATAATGATGCAGTGACCATGAGGGTGCATACATCTTTTCAAATTAGTGTTTTGGATAGCACTTGAATGTTTTTCAAAAGAGTGTTTCCCCTCCAGGTTAGCAAGTTCACTTTGTAAAGTTTTGTGATTGTCTGATCACTAACGACATCCAAGCTCCCAACTAATGGAAACATATAATAGGCCAACAGGTGACAACACATGTACTGGAAATTTCGAGACTCTCTTTATTCTGTGTAATACACTTTTTTTTTATTTTAAATTTATCTTTAGTGTTAAAAGTATTACAGGTGTCCCATTTGTTTCCCCCTTTGATCCCCTCCACTTTCCTCCCACCCCCTCCCCAGGCCTTCACCCCATTATTGTCTTTGTCCAAGGGTTATGCATATATGCATATAACTTCTTTGGTTAATTTCTTCCCACCCTCCACCCCCTTCCCTCTTCTCTCTGAGATAGGATCGTCTGTTGCATGTTTCAATGTCTCTGGATCTATTTAGTTTGTCAGATTCTTTTGTCCATTAGCTTCTTCTTAAAGAAGACCCTTCAGCATTTCTTATAATACTGGTCTGGTGGTGATGAACTCCTTTAGCTTTTTCTTATTTGTGAAGCTCTTTATCTGACCTTCAGTTCTAAATGATAGCTTTGCTCGGTAGAGCAATCTTGGTTGTAGTTCCATGTTTTTCATCACTTTGAATATTTCTTGCCACTCTCTTCTGGCCTGCAAAGTTTCTGTTGAGAAATCAGCTGACAGTTGTATGGGTGCTCCCTTGTAGGTAACTGCTTTTTTCTTGCTGCTTTGAAGATTCTCTCTTTGTCTTTAACCTTTGGCATTTTAATTATGATGTGTCTTGGTGTGGGTCTCTTTGGGTTCCCCTTGTTTGAAACTCTCTGTGCTTCCTAGACTTGTAAGACTATTTCTTTCACCAGGTAGGAGAAGTTTTCTGTAATTATTTTTTCAGATAGGCTTCCAATTTCTTGCTCTCTTTCTTCTCCTTCTGGCACCCCAATAATATGAATGCTGGACTGCTTGAAGTTATCCCAGAGACTCCTTACACTATCTTCATAGTTCTGGATTCTTTTTTTTTTTTTTGCATTTCTGTTTGGGTGTTTTTTGTTTCCTCATATTCCAAATTGCTGATTTCATTCTCAGCGTCCTCTACTCTACTGTTGATTCCCTGTAAATAATTCTTCATTTCAGTTTGTGCAGCCTTCACTTCTGATTGGTACTTTATTATGTCATTGATGATCTTACTAGTTTCCTTAATAGTCTTACTAAGATCCTTCAGCATCCTTATAAACATTATTCTGAACTCTGTATTTAGTAGCTTGCTTGGCTCTGTTTCATTTAGTTCCTTTTCTGGAGATTTCTTCTATTCTTTCCTTTGTGACATGTTTCTTTGCCTCCACATTTTGGCTGCTTCCAGGTGTTTGTTTCTATGTATTAGGTAGAGCTGCTATGTCTCCTGGAATTTGTAGAGTGGCTCTGTGTAGTAGGTGTCCTGTAGGGGCCAGTGGCTCAGTCTCCCCAGTCACCTGAGCTGGGCCTTCTAGGTGCTCCCCTGTGTGGGCTGTGTGCACTGTCCTGTTGTAGTTGACCCTTGGTTGCTGTTGGCATCACTGGGAGGAACTGACCCCCTGGCCAATTGGCTGTGAGGACCAGCTGCAACTACAGTCAAAGAGCTGCTGTGCTCAAGCCACCCCTAAGGAGCAGGATTTACTTCAGTGGAGGTTTGCTGTTCATGGAGTGCACCCCTTAAATGTGTCACTCATGCATGTGGTAGAGTTGTAATCCAGCGTGATCAAGTCTGAGTACCGGGTGTACTGTCTCTAGGGTCTCCTGGGAGGTGCAAAGTCAGCCTCTGCCTGTGCCTTGCCCAGGGCCACCAGGCATGAGCTACACAGCAAACTGTAGTGGACTGCTACTTGTGCTGGTCTTGGTGTTGTTCAGGGGAGGCCAAGCTATGAACCAATGCAAGCTGCCACTATTGCCAGACCTGGGGCTACGTATCAAGATGTATGGGGCTGGGTGAGGCCAGCTGGGGCGGGGTCTCCAGGAATCACCAGGGCGGAGCAAAAGGTGTCAGTGGGNACAGGGTGAGGCCAGCTGCTGCTTGTTTGAGAGATATTAGGAAAGTCCCAAGCNGGGCGGGGTCTCCAGGAATCACCAGGGCGGAGCAAAAGGTGTCAGTGGGTGCTGGAGATTCAAATATCGCGCCTGCCTGCTGGCTCTATGAGGGGAGGGCTTGCCAAAGGAGCAATGGCCTCTGCCAGCTCCTCTGACTGGGAGAGAGCTGCCCGTCCACCTCAGGCCCTGATTTCAGGCAAGTTAGTTCCTCCCCAAGTGTCCCAGGTTCCTTTCAAGCTGCTGCCCAGTGCCAGAGCTCAGGGGGAGCGCATTTGAGTGCATCCGAGCACGGACCCTTTAAGAGGAGATGCCTGGGACTCCCGCAGCCTCCGTGTCTGTCAGCGACAGTCCCAGTGGGACTTTTCTTCCAGGCAC